ATGCGAATTCGGCGCTTTCAAGTGCTTGCTAGTGACTGTGCAGAAGACTCAGAGCGAGTGGCCGACATGGTTGACACCACTTCCAACAGGGTTCCAACTCCACCTTTGGTTCGGTGATGTTCTGTGGATTTGTGACTATGTCTGGCTTGGACGGTGATAGGGGTTTTCATAGAAGACTCCAGCTCTCTCCTGACGAAATGCAGCTAAATTATCACCCTAAGGTCAACATATGGCAGTGTATGAATACTTGTATTAATAGTGGTATGTTGATTCTGGTTTGTGTGGTCTCGGTCTTGGAGCAGTGTTGGAGCTATGTAGTAGGCTCCAAGTTTCCTGAGGTGAACATGAGAGACACAGCTGCCAAAGTTGCAGGCAAGCCAGACGAGGACAATCAGGGCAAGCCTTTGACGGATGGACATCGTGCTTCCAGCCATCGCAGCACAACAGTTTCTCTATCATTAAGTTCCATGAAGATCATGGGACAACGTAGAAGTCGCATAGTTGCACAGAGTCTTTCAAAGCCACACTTGCAAAGGGCTGATTTGTTTGGAGGAGGCTTTTGCACCTTCTGGAAAGTCCGAAGGAGGCGACGAGCTGAAGTGCTTCAAGAAGAAGGATTGCTGAATCCGGGTTTCGAAGTCTCTGTTTCTTCAAGACGAGGTTAGGCTTTACAGGAAAAACATGGACACCAAAATTCGATGAAATTTGGAAGACAGGGCCTTTGGCCTTGAGCATGGCTCAATATGTCATGTCACATGTCCAGCCACAGGCAAAATTTCATTTGAAGGACTCAACAGAATGCCAGCAGATCAACTGCTACCGTGGCTTCGAAGATCAAGGATTTCTGGACCGGCTCCTCGATTGAACTTGGTACAGGCAGGAGTCTATGTCAGCTATGATGGTTTAGGCCACGAGATACAGTAGGTGCAGGGTGTGATATTTTTGCCGCACAGTCATTTGTTTACACCAAATTATTTCGCTATATCCTGAATTGAGGGTCTTTCTTTTTGCTTGCATTTTCTCACGTGTAAAACCCTGCCCAATCCCCTTATTCAAACATGTAACTCCACCAGCCGCGCACTGCTCATCCATTCCATATGCTCCCATCATCTCCCACCTGGTATCAGCTCCTCAAATTGAGTGGGCCTGTTGAAACTGACGGATGTCTTTGATATACAGGCAATAACTTTTCCACCACCTCGGAACTATGATTCTGCAAGGGCTGCTGGGGGGATGACGTTTGCCCGAAATCGACCATGATCCACGCGGGGTTGTTACGGCACATAGTTTCCACAAGCTGACAAATATATACAAACATATTTTGACAATTGACTGCGCCTCGACACATCTTTGCATCAATCCACCAAGGGTGCCCAAACCACCTGTTGAAACTATTTGAAACTATGTTTCCAGCATATCTTTTGTAATTTTGCAGGGATTGGAGTCTTAAACATTAAAACGCCAAAGCCCTTAATCAACCCCAATCCAAACCCAAATAACCTCTAAACGGGTCCTGGATAAATCCTAATCCTAGGCCAAAAAACTCCTCAACTGCAAGTTTAGTCTAAACCAAACCAAAATAAACCAACCCATACAGTACCAACCCTAAACTCTCCGATAACCAAACCTAAGTAACCCCAAGCCAACCCTGAATGAACTCCAACATGTCCACGCCTCCACTGAAGCTTTGGGCGAACGTCGGCTTCGGACGGTTCCAGGTTTCCAGGCTCCAGGTTGGCATGAACTCCAAGCTCACCGGACAAAGCGTTTCCGAGGGTAGAAACCAGGCAGATCTCAGCAGTATCCCTCTGAGGTTAGGCAAATGTGTCAAAAGCCTTTGAAAGTTGGTGAAGATCCCTCAAACCGACAGAACCGCGTTTTGGACCTGCTTTGTATCTAAGTTTATGGCCAGACAGACTCTGTGACCGTTTTATGCAAGATCTCTTTATAATTCGCGTGATCATTAGCTCAAGATAGCCTTGGCCCCGCCTTAGCCTGTTTCAATCCGTCACACAGGACCATCAGTTCATGTGTCCTCCCCATTGACTGACTTTGGATTGCATACATAATTATTTCATATTTCCAATTTTGCAGGTTTCCAAGGGAAAGATGCAATTTTACTTGACTGTCAGATAAATCTGACCACCCAGGCTACAGTTGCTCAAGACACAACTTGACTCTTGCCGCCCTGAAGAGGACAGAGACTCTGACAGAGACTGAATCCTTTTACGCACGCGCAATATTTGACAACATGTCCATAATGTGGAGCTTGTCAACATATTATGTGATCTGAAACTGGCGAGGACACGCCCCTGGTGGGTGTCGTGCCAGAAGCAGAGAAGTCCGAAGTCGCTCCGGAAGGAGCTCCAGAAGGAACTCAGGCGACCGATGCGACTGGGGCTGTGGCAACTGAGAGCGGAGCTCAGGGAACCGAGGGAACCGAGGGAACCGAGGGAAAGCAGACGGGTGGAGTCGAACCGACCGGAGAGACCCAGAAGGAGCTTCCTGCAGGACCCCGCCACTTCTGCCATGACCCAGGAAAGGGATCAAATGATCAAACATAAAAAAAGGAGAACATAGGAGAACACAGACACAGACACACGCACACACACACACATACACAGTTTGCGCTAGATTTTTTTCCATGTTCAAAGATATTTTTAAAAATGTCTTGCTGACTGCTTGTTATTTCAACATGAAGAAAACAATAAGATGTAACACTTAGCGCCTTAAACCTAAGGATGTCTTAGTGAATGTCTGCGCTACTCAGCCATTTTCCTATATCTTTCAGGGTTGTCGTTCAATTTTGCGCAATTTTACCCGCTAGATCCCCGCTAGCAATGCGCTAGCAAAAGTTGCAAAAAAGCGGCTTTGGCTGACCCGTGACCCAGTCGCCGCCTGAGAACTTGTAGTTTATCCTATTTCTGTGTGACAAAAGCAACAGTGACAGCAAACGCAACGACAAGCCCTGCAGCAGATGAAAAATGCTTCCAGTTCCACGACTGATGATTAACTAGCAGTGGCACCCACTCCATATAGACATGCGTTAGCATTTCCTGAAGGTTTCAGCCACGGTTTCAAACATGAAAGAAAACAGGCAGGGTTTCAAACTATTATTTACTGTAGATAAGTCACAGTTTTAAAGACCAAGCAAGAAGCTGCGCGCATGGAATTACGATTTATCAACCAAACCAGCAAAAGACATTTTGACACAACGTCACATACATACATACATACATGCATGCATGCATGCATACATACCTACCTACATACATACATACATACATACATAGATACATAGATTCATACATTCATACATACATTCATACATTCATACATTCATACATTCATACATTCATACATTCATACATACAGACAGACAGACATACAGACATACAGACACACAGACACACAGACACACAGACACACAGACACACAGACACACAGACACACAGACACACAGACACACACACATACATACATACATACATGCATGCATGCATACATACATGCATGCATACATACATACATAGATACATAGATTCATACATTCATACATACATTCATACATTCATACATTCATACATTCATACATTCATACATTCATACATACAGACAGACATACAGACATACAGACACACAGACACACAGACACACAGACACACAGACACACACACACATACATACATACATACATGCATGCATGCATACATACATGCATGCATGCATACATACAGACATACAGACAGACAGACATACATACATACTACATACCTACCTACCTACCTACATACAGACAGACAGACAGACATACATACATGCATACTGTACATACATGACATACTGTACATACAGTACATACAGTACATACATTACATACTGTACATACTGTACATACATACTGTACATACATACTGTACATACATACTGTACATACATACTGTACATACATACTGTACATACATACTGTACATACATACTGTACATACATACTGTACATACATACTGTACATACATACTGTACATACATACTGTACATAAATACTGTACATAAATACTGTACATACTGACTGTACATACTGTACATACATACATACATACATAGATACATAGATACATAGATACATAGATACATAGATACATAGATACATAGATACATAGATACATAGATACATAGATCCATAGATACATAGATACATAGATACATAGATACATAGATACATAGATACATAGATACATAGATACATAGATACATAGATACATAGATACATAGATACATCGATACATCGATACATCGATACATCGATACATCGATACATAGATACATAGATACATAGATACATAGATACATAGATACATAGATACATAGATACATAGATACATAGATACATAGATACATAGATACATAGATACATAGATACATAGATACATAGATACATAGATACATAGATACATAGATACATACATAGATACATAGATACATAGATACATAGATACATAGATACATAGATACATAGATACATACATACATACATACATACATACACACCTACACACATACACACATACACACCTACACACCTACACACCTACACACCTACACACCTACACACATACACACATACACACATGCATGCATGCATGCATGCATGCATAGATGCATAGATGCATAGATGCATAGATGCATAGATACATAGATGCATAGATGCATAGATGCATAGATACATAGATCCATAGATGCATAGATGCATAGATGCATAGATGCATAGATGCATAGATGCATAGATGCATAGATCCATAGATCCATAGATACATAGATGCATAGATGCATAGATGCATAGATGCATAGATGCATAGATAGATAGATAGATAGATAGATAAGATAGATAGATAGATAGATAGATAGATAGATAGATAGATAGATAGATAGATAGATAGATAGATAGATAGATACGCGTACGTACGTACGCGTACGTACATAGATACATAGATACATAGATACATAGATACATAGATACATAGATACATAGATACATAGATAGATAGATAGATAGATACATAGATAGATAGATAGATAGATATAGATAGATAGATCGATAGATCGATAGATCGATAGATCGATAGATCGATAGATCGATAGATCGATAGATCGATAGATCGATAGATCGATAGATACATACATACCTACCTACCTACATACATACATACATATATATAAGTAGATTTATACAATACATATTTCAAGACATGAGCATGAGCAACAAGTAATGACAAACATGAGCGAGAGAATGGGTTGTGATGGGTCAGACGACTTGCAGGATTGCTCTAGCCAGATGTTGAAAGCCGAAAGAGCGGGGCTGTAGAATTCCTTTTGTAGCTTGTGCAAACCATTCTTGATTCTGATGTATGGTGTTGGTGGCCACCTGCACTGCAATAGTTAGTGAATTAGTCTGAAAAATACATCTTTACTTATTTGAAACCCGCAATGCAACTCTGAAGAAAGATCTCGGGCAGTACTTGTACTGGTCGGGCTTGAGCGCAGGTCTAACCTAATTCAGGAGCCACTTATGTTTTAGAATCTATTTCAGTGAGTAAGTTTCAGGAACTATTAGCGAACAAGAATTCCTGGAGGTTTAGACTAGGAATATCTGGCTGAGAAATTTAAGCAAGACACATGAACTAAGAATCCTGTCAAGTTCAATCTAGTTCACCTATATACTTAACATTATTTAACTTTTTGATCTTTTTGTTAGAGGGAATTGGCATCTCATTTTGACTTGGGCAGGGTGATGAAGGTATTGGGAACGTTTGAGACCAGTAGGTTTGGAGAGGCAAGGCGTGAGACTTTCTGAATGATACTCTTCACTGCTCAATGAAATGCTCTCCTTTCCAAATGAACTACAAACTGCGGGCAGAAATGTGAGCCATTGGTCCTTCTGAACCAGCTGGACAGAAAAATAGCCTTTCATACCCAACCATTGGCAGTTGTGTGATTTGTTTACCCTGATTCTCCAACTGAGCAAAGTCTCGGGGCAAAGGTTGAACTCATCTTTGGATCTGCAGGTTTCAATAATGTCTGGCAACGTGGCTAAACGTACTAATAATAGGTCATTAAAGAAATTGACAGGCCACTTTGCGCAGATGTAGTGCGTTTGACTGCAACTGAGAAGCACACTACAGCACATACCCAAACTTGAAGAGGTCCCAACAATGCGAGCACTAGACTTCTGAGTACTCTCTTGACTTCTCTTCTTCTCGCCATTTTCTCTTTGTTGCATACGATAAAAAGGCGCTTTCAGCTGTTTCAAGGCAACGTTTAGACCTCAGACATCAGAGATGCTCCAGACACAGCTCAATCATACTGTATGATACTCAATCCAGACACGAAAATCTTGGCCCGACTGAGTCCGACCCTCGGATTGCAGCTTCCACTTACTTCATGTTACTTCATTGTGGCCGAATTGTGGCCCTTTCTTGCGTGCAAAGCAAATACGCCTCCAAGCTGGAAAGGTATCCGCAATCCCTCATCAGTGCTGGTTGGATTAGGACTCCAAGAAATTTCATCAAAGCTGCGAGGACAACAGCAAGCAGTTGGATTCATTGGCTTGGTAGTCTTGGCCCAAGCTGATCAATGCCAGCATCAGTTGACATCAGGCAATCATTTTTCTAAGGCAACAGTTGCTCGAGAGATGCAGAAGGCCTGCAAGTTGAGGTTTATTTAGGAAACAGCAGCTGATTGCTGAAGGGAACGCATTTCATCCGGATTCCAGATTCCAGTGCATCGTGTCTGTTTGGTTTTTCCACCAATGAGCACTTGAGGCACATCGTGGATCGCGATGCAAGGAATTCCTCTGAGAGCATGGTGATCGTGCTTGCTCCATGAGAGAAGCTTTGAAACTGTGCAGATGATTTCAGTAAAATCGGGTTTATACGGACTTACTCGCTTACTGCGCTTGTACAATCTTGTACACTTTTCATATCTAAATCTCGTGCTTGTCATTGGAACAGCTGAGTCAAAATATGGCAAGCTCAAAGAGCCGCAGACAAGCATGGAAAAAGCAATGCAACGAGAGTAGCTGGAAAGGCTTTCGGTCAAATACGAAGCTGGAAAGCCGGTCCAAACATGTTCAAGACATTTTGCTGACGTGATGTTGGTGGATGGAAAGTGTATAGCACCTGTGTCCTCCAAGCCAAGGTGCGCAAGAGGGTGCAAGAAGGTAAGCTACAAGGTGGTTTTCGACAGGTGCAGAATCAAGGCAAATGCCTCGGCTGCGCCTCAAGGATAAAATAGATCAAACATGATCAAACATGATCAATATAGTGCGTATAATTTGCGGATGTTACTTGTTTATACTTGTTTATGTTATTTTTCGCCTCCGCAAAATCAATGCCAAGGTCAGACCACAGTCTGTGGATGCTTGGATTGCCAACTGCGACTCGGGACTGTCAAGCTGTTCCACTTTTTGCTGCTCGAATTTGCAGAAGGCATATATACATGATTATACATGGAAAGATTCTTTGAGGACTCAAGAAATTTGAATAGTATAGTAGTTGTTCTCTGAACATATCACAGTGACAAAATGTGCAAGAGGTGTGGCATGCGGAAAGAGCCAAGAGAACAGCATGAACCAGATTTTGTTGCCTGAACAAGTTCGAAGCATCTAGAAGGTAGAGGAATAGAGATTTATTGAGCCCAACTTGTGAATGTGGCATGATTTGGCAGGAACAAGCAGTACAACAGCTCTTTCCAGTACGAGCAATCCAAAGACGCATTGACCTCATGTGAGTTTGTGGAGTTTGTGCGTCATTTCAATCTTGTTTCTTGTGATTTCTCTTGTCGAATGTGTTCAATTTGCACTGAGAGAACATCCTAGGTCCTGGCACAAAAGGTCAACAAATGGAAATTGACCTTCCTTGGAGCTGTGTGGCACTGCAAGCCCACGTTTCTCGATGAAACTTTACACTTTACTCTGCAAACTTATGCTTTGCGTGCGAGTCAGATTTCTGCTATTGTTATGTAGATACTATTATAATCTATTATATAGCTAGATTTCCCGCAACGATCACTGCGCCGTTTACACTGAGGCTGGTGATGCATTTGTCAAATGAGGCGAGAACAGAGTTTGCACTGTATGAACTCATTGCAATGGTGGCGTTGAAAGAATCTACTTCCATCACCAAACCCGTTGGCAAGATGTGGTATTGTCATCACTAGTATTCACTAGTCATCTATTACCAATGTTATTAGATTCTTGTCTGCATTTTGCTGTTCGATCAGGGCGGTGCACCAGACAGTTTAGGCACCGCACTGCATGCAGCCTTGGCCTGAATGCAGAGACAAAGACAAGTGACCGAGCGCATGCAAGATATGCCCGGGGCTATATGGGGCCACTGTAAGTCACTAAGATTCACGAAGTACGGTGGTGATCTGCAAAGATCTACGAAGTCCTTACGCTTTGCAGAATGCCGATTCGGAATTTGGAACAGGTCAGGTCATGTCAGGGTGCTTCGCCAAACTGAGGCTGTGCTGCGCGGTGACACTGAGCTTGTCCGTTTGTTGTGCAGCCGGAGCGAGTGAACGGCTCAGAGCCAGGAAACCAATTTCCAAATCATTCCAAGGGTTGCAAAAGGGTTGCAAAGCAAATTTGGATACCAACGAATTGCACCCGTTCATTGTTTGTTCATGCAGTGGCTCTTCAGTAGCTGAAATTGTTGCGAACGAACTGAGAGCGTGCCTCTGACATCCTTTGACATTCTTCGACTGACTTTGACTGCTCGGCCAGGTGCGATCCGAGCACTACCTGGAGTGACTTGGTTTGGTTCGCATTGTCCTTTTGGGTCCTAATTCTGCTAGTTTGCTCAATTTGGATGCGAGAAAGGAGTGCCGGCCTTTACTGCACTCCGTGTTTTGGACAACAACCTACAGAATGCTTAGAGGAATTTGCCCCCCTCGTTGGAAGACGTGTTTGTCAGCACCTATTGATTATCTTGATGCTTACTGATTCTTACTGTGAATGCCAAACTGAACATGGCGCTGAGGTGGCATTACAGCTTTGGATTTGGCAGTGGCCAAAGGCTTCGAGGAGGGTGGTGAGGTCTGGTTTGCACAGAGGTTCTTTTTGGCACTGTGGAAGATTCACAGATGGACATCAACAACATTCAACAACATTCAACAACTGTGAACACCCACCAACAACCAATAACAACCAATAACAACGAATAACAACGAATAACAACCAATAACAACCAATAACAACGAATAACAAAGAATAACAACCAATAACAACCAATAACAACCAATAACAACCAGTAACAACCAATAACAACCAATAACAACCAATAACAACCAATAACAACCAGTAACAACCAATAACAACCAATAACAACCAATAACAACCAATAACAACGAATAACAACGAAGAACAACGAACAACAACCAATAACAACCAATAACAACCAATAACAACCAATAACAACCAATAACAACCAATAACAACCAGTAACAACCAGTAACAACCAATAACAACCAATAACAACCAATAACAACCAATAACAACCAATAACAACCAATAACAACCAATAACAACCAATAACAACCAATAACAACCAATAACAACCAATAACAACCAATAAAAACCAATAACAACCAATAACAACCAGTAACAACCAATAACAACTAATAACAACCAGTAACAACCAATAACAACGGATAACAACCAATAACAACCAATAACAACGAATAACAACGAATAACAACGAATAACAACGAACAACAACCAATAACAACGAATAACAAAGAATAACAACCAATAACAGAATAGCAACCAATAACAACCAATAGCAACCAATAACAACCAATAACAACCAATAACAACCAATAACACCCAATAACAACCAGTAACAACCAATAACAACTAATAACAACCAGTAACAACCAATAACAGCGAATAACAATCAGTAACAACCAATAACAACCAACAACAACCAGTAACAACCAATAACAACGGATAACAACCAGTAACAACCAATAACAACCAATAACAACGAATAACAACGAATAACAACGAATAACAACCAATAACAACCAATAACAACGAATAACAAAGAATAACAACCAATAACAACCAATAACAACCAATAACAACCAGTAACAACCAATAACAACCAATAACAACCAATAACACCCAATAACAACCAATAGCAACCAATAGCAACCAATAACCTTAATTTCAACGACCACTTTGCAGATGTCCCTATGCCAGCCCTCTGTGCTTTCCAGAACCTGTAAAGGTCCTGTTGCAGAGGGAAGCTCCTTTGCGGCATTTCCGAAACGAGACTCTGCTAGAGGCAGCCGACGCGACCGTGCCATGTAGATCCGTTTGCTTGATCTTTGGGACAGTCCTGTCACTGAGAGATACAACATCATACAACGGCATACAACCCTGACATTGTCGGACATTTATAGATTGTCATCAATCGTCATCGGTCTACTTGTGGGAGGCAGTTGAAAGGGGCAACGTTCTCCTACTGCGGGCTTTGTTAGTGCAGATGCGTATGGAGCTCAGCAATTGGATGCATTTCACTTTGGTTCATTTTGTATATCCAAAGTTTGGATATCCCTGACTCGACGCTTACGTGTCACTTTCACCCTGTCAGCCTTTCCGAACTGTGTCCATTCTTTGTCAGATTATTTGGCAACAATCGAACCAGAACAATATATATATATATAATTATACATATATATATATTCAAATTCAACCGATTGAAAAATTCAACCGATTGAAGCGCTCAAGGCATCTTCTCTCACACGGCCTTCCTGATGGAATCCGCTGCCAAGGCTTTGTACATCTTTGGGAAGCCTAGTTAACTAGTTTGTACATCTTCTCATGACTTGAACGACTAGTGTAACTAGCGGTTCATTTGCTCTTGGGCCTAGCAATGCAGTTCACCTAGACTTCACACACACACACAACACCACATATATCAACACACGGCAATGTATTGATGTATTGTATTGACATATATTGAATACACATAAGCGCCGCCGTATCTACTGTACGTTCCAAGATCTCAGCTTTTCCATGTCGTAGAGCTTGCGGGCCGTGTTTGTAGTTCAAACATCCTTCACATTCGATTCTGTTGTATAATCTGTATAATAGACAGCAATCCGAAGGTTTGGGCAAACAATGAAAAGGCCACACCATGCTTTAAGAATCTTTAAGACTTCTCGGCTTGGCATTGGCTCTCTTTTGATCAAGGCTTGAGGCTGGAATATGTTGGACTAAGCACCTTCAGGCATTGACTCCTCGTGGAGCAGACGGAAATACGCCTGGGAACAGAAGGAACTCAAATCATCAAAGTTCATCAAAGATGCTCCTCGTGGAGCCACTCCATGTTTTGCCCCTCAGCGGCTTTTCCAAGGCCACTACACCTGGCGTGTGCCTTCCCAGACCGAGAGGCTCCAGTTTTTTTTCGCTCTTCACCAGACTAGGATTTTGCAAAACATGAATTAAGGGATAGACTGATGATCGACGAATGGAAACTTGTAGCTGTGCTTGGAGATTCAACATATCATGCATACAAGTAGAATTGATGCAACTTTTCAAAGGAAGGATGCTTCAACAGAAAACGCTGGCATTCCTGAGCACGAGGCATTAGTGACTGTTTTGGTCAAGCACAGCGCAGACTTGCAGCCCTGCCTCGCTTGCATCCGTTGCTCTAGATGACCGTATACAGCATGGTACAGCATGGTACAGCATGGTACAGCATGGTACAGCATGGTACAGCATGGTACAGCCAGAAATCAAGAACGCGTTGCAGCAAAACAGGAATCTGGAGAATGATGATGGCATGACGCCCCTGGACACCGAAATTGCAAGTCATGTGACAGTTCACCTCAAATGATTTCCACAAATACATTTGATTACATTTGTGTATGCAGTACTATTATATATATATCTATAACATTCATTATATTTATACGACATATACATACATTATTGTCATTATTGTTGTTAGTACTGTTATCACTACTATTAGTTTTCATCTATGTATGTATCTTTTTACTTGTTGGTTTGTTCATTTATTTGATTTCATTCATTTTATTTATTCATTTGTGGATGATTATTGGTATTGCCATGTTAATTATATAACTAGTATTACAGTACTTATTGTTGCAGTGATTACTATGATCATTATATTAATCATTATATATTATAGTATATTGTAGTCATTGAGTCATTCTTTTTATTATGGTTTGATTCATCTTGTTGGCGAGTCGTTTGGCCTCGGTTTTTCTGCGCATCTCACGAATGAACTTGCCCTCTCCGTGGCTTTGCGAAGGACTGCTGCGTTGCGACATCAAATGTCACAGCGTGGCGCGTGCTGAAAAATATCAGTGGGGGCCAAGCGAAACACAAGAAGTACGAGGCAAGCTTGCAGGGATGGCAGAGAAATTCAAGGATCTCAGGTATGGCATTTTCAGCAAAGACAAGAAAGGCGCAAGGAAGGCTATGCCACGCTGCTGCGAAACTGGCGTTCTGTCAACTTGTCCTGATTGGATGTTGATTTCAACAAGACCAGCTTTATGAGTTACTCTCGCTCCAAGTGACATACTGAGAGATGCCATTATTGCTGTCGCAGGATTTGCTATCTCATCTCTGGGTTGAGAATGTTGAGAAAATGATATGCTGTTCCTCATTATAACATCATTTCCCAGTGGTAAATTCAGAGTGACCGTGCAATGTGGGATCACAGGAATAGCAGTACTAGGACCTTTATGAAGGGCCACATACTGTCACACATCCCAGATTTTTTCTGAGACAGGCCGAGTACCGTTCCTTACGGTCTGCAATTTCTTCCAACTGCCTCTTCTTGATCCGGAATGTGCACTTGCGGCAGGTTGGGCAGAACAGATCACTGACTGATGTGTAGTGCACGTTGAGCAGCGGAGTGGATTCTCCACGTGCCATGGAGTTTTTTCTAGCCACAACCTGCTAACCATCCATTTCTGGCTTTATGAGGGACAGGATGTTCAGTGGTACACTATCCCTATAGTACCTATAGGAAAGGTTTTGAAAGAGTCAAAGCTAACTTGATTGTGTGATTGTTAAAGATTGCTGGAGCCATCTGTTGTCATCTTCAGGAAGATGATGTGAAAAAGAGCAAGGTTGACCTGGGGGAAATGCTCCATCTTGCAGTCAGTTCGTCATGCCCTGAGTAGAGTCCAGGCCAGAAACCAGACGTGACTTGAGACGGTAGAGACGTGAGATTTTTTGGCGATACTGAGGGCTGGGGTTGGAGAAGACATTGTGCACTATTTGGTCGATCAGGCTAACGGCATCAGCCATGGCGGGCCATTTCGAGTGAATGCAAGTAACCTGCTGAAATGCCTGTTGTGCAGCTGATGGATCTGCAAGTAATGCTGAGCAATCCCTTGGCAGGGGGCCGATGTCAACTCTATCAGAGAGCCGCCCTCGGACTTCTGGAATTGATTCGGAAATGATGCCAAAATTTGGATATTGTTGCTGCTTTTGAATCTTATAAGGATGGCTTCAGCGTGCTGGATGCGTGTTTGGCACGGAATGGTGTCAGCGAAAGCGTGCTGGGGAAGCATGCAAAGCTGTGCAAGTACCAGGACAAACAAATGTTGCTGTAAGGATGTCCAATGTGGCTTTGGATGTGAGGTTGCTGCAGAGACAAGCTTCAAGAACTCTTGACTTTTGTGACTTTTGTCCCACCCTGACGCTTTTTTCATGGCAGGACTATTCTTTGTGCACTGCTGCAAAGGAAGGCTTGTGATGGTCTCAGCTTGGATCGTGCGGCGCAACTCCGACGATGTGCGGCTTCGAATTCAGCTGAGGGCTGGTCTGGCTCGGTACTTGGCAAACACTGCTAGAAAGGGCAGCAAAGATGGTACAGGCCTTAGCTGCAGGGTGAAGCTGGCAGAAAGATGAGTACATCTCAAGCACATCGAAAGAAATTGTCTGTTTTCTTGTTCACAATTTGAACAGGCACGAGACAAAGAGATGGTGGATTTTTGCCACTACATCTTGCCGCAAGCCGTGGACATGCAGACACTGTCAAGGCAGAACCCCTGGTGATGCGATGTTAAGTCCATCAACAAATTTCATCAACAAATTCATCCGCTGGGAGATCTTCAACAGTTCGTGCATTTGAAGTCTGGATTCCTTTCTTCCAAGGTGTTGTTGAAGGCAAATAGCAACGTGCACGAGCAGACTGACGGTGGCTTCACCGCTCTTGATTTGGCCTGAAGCTTTGATTAGCGTAGCTTCGTCAATGATTTCCAAAACAATGAGAGAAAAATCAGAAGGAGCCCTCACCACTCAGATCAAGCTTGCGTTTAGATTCGATCAATTTGAAGGGTGTCTGAAAATGGGGCCGTATGCCCCCAAATGGCATCTTGAATGAGATGATAGAATGATAAACCATGATAAACCATCAATTTGGGTTTCTTGACCTGGACATGAGCAGGCACTGAAAAACAGACAGCACCAGAGGAAGTATCGAAACATAAAACTCTCGAGGCGCACTAGGAGACACCAAGACACCCGAGGAGACCAGCTCCCACCATCGAAGCTCCACAAAGAGCTTTGCGGGACAGCAAAGCATAGCAGAGAAACATGTAAGAAGATGTAAGAAGTAACATTGAGAAACATTGAGAAACATTGAGAGACATTGAGAAACATTGAGAACCATTGAGAAGCATTGAGAAACATTGAGAAACATTGAGAAACATTGAGAAACATTGAGAAACGTTGATGCAAAAGCCAAATTCAAGCCTAGTGGATCTAGTGGCACTTCAATTACTTTGGAACTGAGCTTCTACTTCAGTCGGAACTGCTCGCATTTGTGAGCGCCAAGCAGCCCTCATAGATCTCTGCTGCTTACGCCATTCTGAAGCCATTTGCCATGACTTGGCCATGATTTGCCATGAACTTTTCCCACGCCTTTTCGGGGAAGCAAGCTCAGAATCTGCATCACCCTAAGCCTTTCGACATCTTTCGACTTTAGGCTTGCGAAAGCCTCGCAAAAGCCAGTCCTGGGTCAGAGGCCGCAAGCTGCTTCCAAGAGGAAACTGGACCGCTACAACTTGATACAACTCGACAACTCTTTTAGACATGGACTTGGAGAGTTGGCTATGTTGGCTTGGGCGTCCAAATTTACTGGCTTCAATGAACACGTGCAAATCTTGCAAGTCTTTGTCTGGGCTTTGTAGCGTGTGTAGCGTGAGTAATCATTTTCTTTCTTTTCACTTTTCTTCTCGGGCTTTGCCTATGGCACCTATGGTACTCGTACAGTATGCATTGATGTATGCACTCGTTTGAGACAGAATTTCCAGTGAGTCAAGTCCAGGTGTATTCCAGACTTTGCCGCACTATCGACATCCTGCTGTCCAGGAATTGCAAGCTCAAGGAGAAGCTGCTTTTTTGTTTACATTTTGTCCACTTAAAGCAATATAAGCAAGTCGCGCTTAAGTCATAGCAAGTCGTTTGAGTCTTTTGCCTTGGTTGAGAAAAGGATCACAATTCTTGGATACTTTTGGTGACTTTTGGCCTGAAGGAATTTAGAGGAGAGCAAGAGCTCGACAAAGCCAGACAGCACATTCAAAAGGCAAGCCATGTCACAGGAAATGGCATGGTGTGCGTCCTTTGAGGCATCAGAAAGGGATGAATCAAAGACTTCAGTCAAAATTTAGCCTTCAGGCGGGTGCCAAAGAAGGTGGCGACAAGGCAAGGTCTCAGGAAGTGACATGAAGTGACATGAAGTGACCATGTTGATGTTTTGAAATGGTTTGTCATGTTTTGTGATCTGTCTGCGTGTCCAAGGAAGAACCGAGCAAAGCAGATGTGCGGAAAGTGGCCAAGAAGAGGCAGGTGGATATCAATTGACTCGGACGGACACTCGCAGCAAATTGCGAGGATGACACGCCGGACACGCCGGACACGGGATGGTACGGGATGGCATGGAACAGCATGAAATGACTCTGGAGACACGGGCTGTGCAAAGTTTCACGGACAAAGGCGTGACGAGCAAGACGAGCCCCTGAAGACAGTTGATAGGGAGGTGCACTGACAGCAAGCTTTTGCATAGGCTGTGCAACTTGTTGTTCTGGTGTGGATTTCGATGGTATGCAATTTCGTAGGCTTTGGCTTGTACAGTGATCACAGTGATTTCTAAATTGTTTAACCTCAAATTGTCTAAGCCACCCGTTTTCAGTTGTGGATGCTGTGGCTTCCTGGATCTTCTTGCTGTAGATACATGTGGTTATCGAGGGGAACACACAGTAGTTTTAAGATGTTTTAAGTGCTGCATGAGTTGTTCAGAGCTTGGCACCACAAAGGGATGTCTCTCTGGCACGCTCTCCATGCTCTCCATGGGTTTTGGATTCGACTTCATCTTGAGAGTGCTGACTGTCCTGTCCTTGCTTTGCATTGCTTCGCTGATCTCAGAGTTTGAAATGAGCATATGATCTGCGTTCGCGATCGTTTGAGTGTGTTGTGCAGTTGTGCGTGTTTGTTGGTTGTGCACGCGCGCACCTCCGATGAAATTTGAACGAGAAATGGATGGAGCAGAGAGCCTTGTTTGTTGAGCAGCCAGTGAACACCTAGCTCGCGTTGTGGGAAATTCGGGCGAACTGACGTGCTGTCCCACAGTTCTGTTGGGAGAATCGGTCTTGTGCGCAGATTGAAACAATTTGAAACAAATGGAATGGACATGATCTCTTGGACAGCAGCCTGTGAAAGTTCGCTGTGCAGGTAAAAGCCAAAGTCGCAGAAGAGGAAAAAAAGACCGAAAGCTACAAGGTCCGTCTATAGAGTCTATACCCTTACCCTTGGACAAGAGTGGATGTGTTTCCAACATGCACTTCCAAATACCTCAAGCCTTGTTCATCCGATCTCAAGATCTAGCTCTGTTGTGAGCAGGTAAACTCTTGTTTCCCGCGTTTGCGAAAGCAGAGCCAGTCACAGGAAGCAGAGAAATTGGCAAAAAAAGTAGCAGAAAGTCGTGAAGTGCTTCAAGCGAGCTGGAGAGGCCCAGACCGACCACTGTCTGGAATATAGTTTGCAGATTGTTTGCAGGATTTGTGTGCACATGTCCTAAACGCAGACATGGCACACACACACATTTTGCACATTTTGCACTTGTATTTGATGAGCGTTGGTCACAACGTAGCTGCGGAAATCATAAAGTCGTGCTTTTGCATTGTATCTCCACTGCTTGGGGACTGGAGGAGTGGAGGCCAGAAGGGTCCATGCAATTGTTTTTGTCTGTTCACAATAGTTCAATCATGTTCAATCTGCCGGTTTGCCATTTGATTATATATGATTATATATGATTATATGATATTTGAATATATTTGATTGGATTCTGCCAATTTTCTTGGCCTGTTCTCGTACTGTACCGTGCTTCACATCCTCAACATTCCTCAACCATGTTCACAGTTAACAGTTATGCAGTTATGCAGTTATGCATTTTCATCGCTGATTCAAAATACCTCCCATCCAACAACCTAGGCATCGCTGATCTTAGCTGACCATAGCTGACCAACATCATAAGCCGAAGAGTCAATTCAAATTTCGCGAGTTGTTAGTGCTTGTTACTCGACTTGTGCAAAGAACATCAAAGATCCACCTGCAAAACCAAACTAGCATGTAGTAGTGCTATGTAGTGCTCGTATGTAGTGGGAATGGAATGATTGCTGCATCAATTGTAAAGATTGATGAAGATATCTTCTCAGGCAGAAAACCCATTCTAGCGCATTTCACAATCCCTTACTAATGTGCGGAGCTGCCCCTTCGCTGCTTCTAGCATCAATTAACGTCTTGTAGTTTGCAGTTTGTGTGACCAGATGTCGACCCATCCGTATACACCATGTGGGAACCAGGGGGAATTTACGCCATGCCACAGCTGGAGTGTAGATGATTCTCACACACCATGAAGCATTTGCAGCACACACGCACACACAAACGAACAGACGTCCAGCCACTCCACAAACCACCCAGTTTTTGTCAGGGTCTTTATGGTTTCTTGAGCTGCAACTTGCGGTCGAAAGGCATCTTTTTTGAGTAACGCAGGGGTCCGGGTCTATGGCATACCAGTCCCTGCTCCACTTTGCTTCGTTTAGACTATGGACTTACTCAACCGCATGGTTCAACCATGACGTACTTTCAGACCTTCATTGCTTTATTCACGCTGTTGCAAGTCTTACAATTCTTGAAAGGTGACGGAGAGAAGCTGCCAGAGTACCTCTCCAGCAAGTGCCCTTGGTGACTCATTGATGACTCATTGATGACTCATTGCGCTGCACTGTGTCTGCTCCCTTTGAATTAACCAAGCTACTGAACAGTACGCCACCATGAGCCAGTTTGCTTTCGATGATTTGGACCTGCCAGATACTACCAGATCCGCATTGATGTGCTTCGCCGGAAGATCCAGGAAAACCTGCTGGGGTGAAGCCCATTGTACTGCACGTCAAAACAAATCTGTAACATCAAATCAGATTCCTTCGATTTCCTTTGCAAGGAGAAAGATCAGCACATCGAGGATGCCTTGAAGAAGATGGACTTCGCGGAAGAGGAGCCTGAGATCTCGCAACGTCGCAGAATTCTTCTTCTGTGAAGCCTGCATTAAGCCTGGCCTCACATTGAAAGGACTACCTCTGGCTCCTCAGAAAGAAAATGCGAGATTTGAGGCGCCTAAGGGAAGCAAGAAGCACTTATTCAGTCCTGACTGCATACTGTGCTTCACTAGAGCAACTCCGAGGTACGCTGACAATTCTCAAGTCCGTCTTGCGCTGCTTACGGTTGCTTTCGGCTCTTGTGTACAGGCTTAAATATCATCCCGACAAAATCAATGACCGTCAGCCCACAGAGGAGGACATTGCTCAGCTTCTGGAAGAGCCCACGCCTAGTATATCTAGTCCGGAGACTGGCAGCTGGGGCTTTCCTTCTTGTTGGCCAGCGGTCTGTGCAAAGAGAACCCAACAACTCAATAAACTAATACCAGCAGCAGGAAACTACAAGCAGGATTTTGAAATGTGAGGGTCTATGTTGATGTCGCGTTTTTGATGACGTGGAGATCACCTTAATATCCTTCCACGGCAATGCCGTAGAGCTGGGACTTGATTGTGTCAAACTCTTGCGAAACCCAGTTCCAGAGCTTTCACCAGGACTACAAGTTCTACGAACGTGTCACAAAAGCATATGACGTTTTGTCTACGAAGGAGGCGAACCTGACATGACCTGTGTCGCTGCCCACGGATGGATCCAGGTTTCCTTAGTTTCCTCAGTTTCCTACTCCATTGGATTTTTCTTTGCAGTCATCTACACACTGGCGAAGATAGGTCTAAGGACACTCTCCCATCAGCCCCAGTGCTTGGACCAACTGTAGTGTGGTGCACTGTAAAGTAGTGTAGTTGTAGTTGTAGTGTAAGTGTAATTAGTGTATATAGTGTCTTGTAGTGTAGCCCAGCGTAGCGTAGCGTAGTGTAGTGTAGTTAGATGTAATGAGATGTAATTAGATGTAACTAGATGGAATTAGATGTAAATAGATGTAACTAGGTGTAACATGGTGTAACTAGATGTAGTTAGGGGTATAATTAGATGTAATTTAGTGTAGTGCAGTGTAATTAGTGTAGTGGAATGTATCGTAATATATTTGTATTTGTTGTTGTAGTAGTGGTGTAGTGTAGTGTAGTGTAGTGGTAGTTGTAGTTGTAGTTGTAGTCG